CAAATGATCCTTCAAAGATGAACTATAGACCAAAATATCATCGAAAAAAACCAAAACAAATTTTCTCAAAAGGCCTTGAAAAATATCATTCATAAGATTTGAAAAAGTGGCAGGGGCATTTGTTAGTCCAAATGGCATGACAAGCCACTCAAAATGTCCATGATGCGTGCGAAAGGCAGTTTTATAACGATCTTCCGGATTCAACAAAATTTGATGATATCCCGATCGCAAATCCAGCTTAGAAAAAATCGTGGTACCAAATAGCTCATCAATCAGCTCATCAACAGTTGGTATCGGAAAACTCTTTTTTATGGTTATTGCATTCAATGCTCTATAGTCCGTACAAACTCGCCAAGAACCATCCTTCTTTTTCACAAGTATAATGGGTGAAGAGAAAGGACTCTTGCTAGGATGGATAATCCCCTCATGAAGCATCTCAGCAACAAGTTTCTCGATTTCCTCCTTTTGACTATGAGGATAACAATATGGCTTCACCTTCAGTAGAGTAGATCCATCCATTAAAGGAATAGAATGATCATGTGCACGCGGTGGTGGCAATGTGGAAGGAGTAGAGAAAACTTAAGCATATGTAGTTAGCAATAAAGCAACTTCGGGTTCTATATCCGGTAGTAATTCTAGCGATGCAAAAGATGGCGTGATGGGAACAACCATTTTCATGCTATATACCTCTGCAATGGAATTAGTGTTGACCATTCGACCAAGGACGGAGCCAAGGGGGGACCTACGGGTGCCACGGCCCCCCCAACAATTTTAATTTTTTTTTATATACATATATATTACTATATGGCACCCCCTATTTTTAATATAAACTCATATGTATAATTAAATGAATAACCCAAATTTATTTTTTTATTCAACTTTTGGACTTCTGGTACGGCCTGCTATGTGGTATCACTTTGGAATTTTTTTTTTTTTTAAAAAATGTAGCGCCTCATTTGATCATTCCAATTCTCGACCCCCCAGTATTGAAATCCTGGCTCCGTCCCTGCATTCGACGAATATGATGTAAATGAGCTTGTCGCGGAACATGATGAACATCCCCTTGTAATGTTACGAACTTACCATTATACAAGAATTTTAAGTGCAAGGATTCATAATCAGCCACATGAGGACTGATAGTTTTCAACCAGCTTGCTCCCAAAATAAGATCTGCACCTGAATTTGGAAGTAAATATACAGGCATTTGAAACAAATTCCCTTGAGCTTGTGATGGAAGAGAATAGGAGAAGTGGAAGGTGTAGCTTCTCCTTAGCTCTCCTTATGCACGGATCTTCAATCAAGGAGATAGGACCGAAATCTTGAACACCTTTAGAAGAGGAATTCGTGAGGATTAGAAGCTCTAATCTATGGACGGAAGCATCCAAGCACAATTCTCAAGGGATTGCACACTTCAAAGAGAAGGAAGCTAGGTTTCCTAAGGGAATTGAAGGCACTCTCTTAAGGTTTTCTCTCTTGGATGGTTTCGGTGACTCTTGAGGGAATTTGGCTGAATACAAGTTCAGAAAATTCATATATTCAAAAGTGTATTACAAGTTGTAGGAAGTTGCATATATAGGAGAAGACTAGAGCTACTTGGCGGCACCTTGAGTGAACAAAAGTGGCGCCAAGTTTGAATTTCAAATTTGAATTTGAAATTCAAACTTTGGCCACCTCTCTTAATCACACGGATGCTACCTCCATTTAGATGTCATTTGGAGATGATTTGAGGTGAATTTGGAGCTCACATGGCCGGATCCATCCCATGCAAACCATGTGACTCAAATTCAACTCAAATTACTTCTAAATGATGTCTAAATGAAACCTAATTCTCCTATTAATGTTTTCTTCATATAATCCTATTCTAATGACCGAAATACATTGGTCTAATGAATACAATGAATAGAAAAAAATATAAGAAGAAGAATGAGCCCAATATTGGGTATCAAAAGCCCAAAGCCCAAGAAGCCCAAAATTAAGCCCAAAACACCTAAACCCTAATCTATGGTCAAAATACAAGACCAACATGAAAATAGATTCCTATACTAAGAAAGTACAATTAGTCATGGTGTATAATCAATCAAGCCCAAGTGAGAAGCACCCTAGGCCCACCAAGCCCATTGGGCCCACTAAGCTCTGAAGCAGTCAAATCTTCAAGTAACCTCCTGGCCATAGCTCTAGTGGTTGGGCCTTTAGCCCATGCTCTTCCATCAGCTTGTATGACCAATTGTTGAATTAAACCTTCTGCCGTCATATAATTCCCATTTCCCACCATTACTTTGAACATGGGCGCTGGTTCGACAGGAAGCTTCAAAAATTTTGCAAGACGAGGTTGCAAAAAATTATCGGAACTCCCTCCATCGATTAAAACAGTCACAGGTAACTTGTCAACATAAGCCAAAAACCAAATGGTACCCACTCCAATACCACCTTTGAAAGCATTCAACGATAAATCAAGGCCATCAATTCCAATCTTTGTGTTAATGACAGGCTGATCAATATTAGGTGGAGGGTCAAAATTATAATCCACAGAATCTTCCTCTAAATTCAAAAACATATACTGTCTGTTTGGGCACTTATGATTAAAAGTAAATTTGTCATCACAAAAATAACATAGTCCCTTTTCTCTACGAAGTTGCATTTCAGCCGGGCTTATTTTTTTGACCTGACTATTGGCCAAGGGTGAAATTGTAGGTTTTGGTAATAATGGTGGAAGAGATGCCTTAACCACAGGTTTGGACTGTTGCTAAGAGGTATTATAACTCGTTGAATACACAGGAGAATAACTTCAAACAGGCGTTGAATCTGATTTAACAGTGGGTGAATATCTCTCCTCATATAACTTAGCCAAGGCAACTGCTCTGATCAAAGAAACTGTACCAGTTTGCTGTAATTTAAACAGCTCGGACATTGGGCAATCAAATGGAGAGGGGCCAAATTGGGATTCCAAAGCGCGTGTCAAATCTGTCCAGGATTGAACAGCAGAAAGACGTTGAAGCATTTGAAACCAAGGCACGACATCTTTTTCAAAATGAATTGCAGCAATCTCCACTCTCGCAGCATCAGGCGTATGATGATAGTTAAAGAATTTTTCTGCCTTAAAGATCCACCCTAGCACCGAAGAGTGTCCATCAAAATGTGGGAAACCCAACGAAATGTCCTTAACATGCAACTGATTTGCAGACGAAGAAACATCATGGAGCTGAGATTGCGATTGTACCAATAAATCTAAGGAATGTTGGAATTGATCCATCCGAGCTTGAGCCTCTGCCTGGACTTGTTGAGTATGAGCCCGTTGTTCACGATCACGAAGCTCCAAAAGAGCCATTAATTTGCGAAGTTCCTCGGAATGACCACGGACTTCAGCCTGTAAGTCCTTCAAACGTGTGCTCTCAACCATGGCGTCAATGAAAGCACCAATGAAACGTGTATACTGGAAAATAGAAACACCCTGTATATTTTGTATAATATTGTTTGAAGAATATAAGTGCTTGATACAATTATAACAGCAAACAATTGCAACCAAGAAACAAAGGTTTCAATACAGAATTGGAAATGAGAAATTAATGATAACTATCAGTCACGACCCGATCACCATTGTTGAAGCTCACAACCTGAATCAATATCAGAAAGAAGTAAGAAGAATCGAAACTGAAGAATCAGATCAGGAAGAATTAGGCAGCAGAATTTTCAAAGAGAAAGCATACCACACACATCCTTTCCCCTAGTGCACGTAGTCCTGAAGAAATACATTCTCTCTCTTACTCCTCATGCTTTTCCTTCGTCCATTTCCTTGCTGATCATTTGCCACGTGGCCTTGTGGTGTAACTAACTTTTTCTCCCCACTCTGCTCAGCATTTCGTAGGCTCTCATTTTTTTTGCACGTTACAATAGCCTAGCACTCAAAAGCATCATTACTAAATTATTGTCTAATGTCATTTGTATCACTCTCCTCTTACCCTTATAATCATTTAGAAGCATAGTTTCTAAGTCTAGTTTTTCCCAAGACAATTGTGTCAATTCAAGAAGTCTAGCACCATTAGCAAGTGGATGATGTATATCACTGCTAATGTGCCACAATCTTGCCTCTCCTTTTTATACCCTTTATCATAGACAAAAGTCGAAGGTTAAAATACACAAACCAAATATTCTACCCATTTTGGATCCATTTTGTTTTTCTTCAAAGAATGAATAGAGGAGTGTGCACTCTAATTCCTCTCAAGCATGAGAAAGAATATGGTTGAACAAGAAGTTTAAGGCATGCTTTTTGGATACTTCTCAAATACATATCCAAGAAGTATCCTAGAAAAAAGTTCAAAAATAAATGAAAAAAATTGGATACCTTTTGGATATGTATTTGGAAGTACTTGAGGAGTATCGGTATTTGACACGGGTACAATACTGATACATTTCCATTTTTGAAGTATTTGGGCTTCATAGAAAAGCTCAAATTGAGAAATACTTTCCTTTATGCATGATACTGACATAAGTTAATAATTGTTAGAACTTAGAAGTATTTCTCTGTTCTCTGCTCGTATAACATTTATACCTGATATTTAATAAACAATATTAATGATGGAATTGTTTAATAGTTAACTTGACAGTTTACAAGAAACAGTGACAAAGCTGGAGTTTTTAGAAAAAACACCAGTAACTGCATTTGTTGCTCTCAAAGAAATGAAGAAGGCAATTATTGATTCCCAATTCTCTCTCTCTCTTTTGTTGCTTTTCTTTTTCAAATTCTCCCGTGTCTCTTTCAGGCTTATAGGGTTTTGGGTAACAAGTAGGATTAAATTTGCTGCAACTTGCTGAAGTTATATCATTCTTTTCCATTCCTTTTTGGTTATTCAAAATCACTATATATCTCTTTAAATGCTTCAGTTTTCCAGGCATTGGTATTGAGGGACATCATAACCGAATATGCATTACGCTTTTGTTATATTGTAATTGCATATTTCAAATTGTGGTTTATCTCCTTAATGTTAGTATTGTGATACATCAAGTATGTATTATGATATAATTGTAGCTACGCGGGAACATGGAGTGATAAATACAAGGACAAGGATCAAAAAATTAGTGGATCAGTCACGAATCAGCTTCCATCATCTAGAGATTTCCTTGGGGACTTTCTTGTATGGAAACCTCCTGTTGGGTTAGGGAAAAGTCGAGCATTTTGGATTGGCTTAACAATATGGTTGGGATTAGTTGGAGCTGCCCTCATTATTCAAAGATAAAAATACATACACTTATATACAAAGTTTGAGTTCTCCAATTTGTGATGTATACATTCTAATTTGTTGTTAATAGTTTTTTTTTTTAGTTTATATAAAGTGAAGTCCATGTTGTAACATTATAGAATGTCTGCAATAGATTTGTAAAGTTATTGTATCAAATTGATAAGGATGTTATGTTATGTTTCCACAGTGTGTTCTTATGTTGAAATTACAAGGATGTGCAGTAATTATGTTAAAAAAGAACATGTTTAGCGGAATTTCTTATCCTCATACCCTGCTTGTTCTTCTGCAATACAAAATGGCTAGTTTGTTGAGGTTAAAAGCAGGGTCAGTTAGAACTGGAAATGCAGGGTCTCCTAGTTTGTTACTTTTTTTTTTTGGGTGCAGTATTCTATTTAACCTGATAGAAGAATGTTATGCAGTACATTTGTTACAGCAATATTTTGGTGTAGACAATTTTGTAGGCTTCGATCAGCTTTATTTGCAATCAGTGACTCCTGTCTTTGTGGTATTGTGCTGTCCAGCACTATTGAAGTAAGAGCAGATTGGAAAGCGCACCAACTTTTGTTTGAATAGAAGTTGAGAAGTAAAAAATGAACAGTAAGAAGTGTAAGAGAAAAAGTAGTTTTATATCTTTAATTAATTTTTACTAAGCATTCATTCGTTCAGAGTTGATAATTGTAAAGTGACTATAATGTCACAATTAATTTCTCTACTATAAGAGTTGTGGATGTAAAATGTTATTTTAAGCTTAGAATTGTATCATAAAAGTTAGAATATAATTTTGCGATTTTTTGTTTGGAAATTTTATGAAATTTTTGGACGAAATAACTAAAATGTCCTCAGTTGCCTATGAAGTCTAACTAATAGTGGTTTGACATCTAAATATAGTAAAATGATGTTCTTAGGTTTTGAAAGTTAAATATATAAATATATAATTTACAAAGAATTGGTTATTTATTGAATTAAAATGAATTTAATATAATTTTGACTTAAAAATATCAAAATAATTATAAAAAAATGTAAAATAATTGTATAACATTAATTCCTATTTCATTATAATTATTTATAGTTGTAAAATAATGTCTCCAAAATGTTTAAAAAATGAATTTATTTGATATAAAAGCTCAAAATCAAGTTTGTGCTTGAAAATCGATCTCTTCTTTACCCTGTTGCAAAAGTAAAATTCTCATAAATAACCAGGATTGAGCAAAGATATCTTAGGATTGGCTTGAAGTGACATTACACGGTTTCTCTTTATATTGGTTCAAATGTGGTTCAAATGGGAAGAGAGGAGAAAGATTTTAATGGAACGATGGGACGAGAGGAAAGGAAAGAGAAGGAATGAGAGATAATTTTTTTTTTATATATATACAAGAGGAGAAGATAGATTTTAAAAATCAATTTTCTTTTATATTTTTGTAAATTTTAAATTTGAATATAATGCTTACATGTTTGGACATTATCCTACCAATATTTTAAAGTCTTTCTCCTCCTCTCCAAATTTCTCTTAATATTGGAGGAAACTAAAATTGAGTTAGGAGAAATTTTGTTCTCCTCTCCACATCTCATAAAATTTGAATCAAACAAGAAAAATTTTAAAAAAATTCATCCCCATCCCTCCTCTTTATTTCTTGAAAGCCAAATACTATGTTAAACACATATTTTAAAGTATGTTTAGATACAAACTAAAAATATTTTTTTAGAGCATTTCTATTAAAATTTATTTTATTTTATTTTTAATAAAAGAACTCTAAAAATAACTCCTTTAAACTTGTTTCTAAATATATTGTTATTAAAATACTTGGAGAATACTTCAAGTGGTACAATTATGACATTATCTACATGACTCTCTGTCACTCATCACTCTTCCCCTCTCTATAAACCGACACCCCTAATCAGACAGACTTCATTCCTCCTCTCCCTCGTTTGTGCATGCCCAAAACCAGCAAACCAACTCACAAAAATCTCCAAAACTTTTGTTTGCTATATGTTGATGGAAGTTACTTCTTTACCCAAAACGTTTGTTTTGATTCTGGATGTTAATGTGTTGGTGGCTGAATATTGTCTTGTAAAGATTGATTCTTTTCCATTTAGGAAGGTCCAAATTTAACTGAAGATTTTGCCGAAGTTTATAAACAACATTTTTTAATGTTGTTCTCTTAAAGTTATTTTACTGTATCAAACATTTTTTTTATCAAAATTGTTTTTCAACAAATTTATTTAAATAAAAATTTATATTGATTATAATAAATTATTACAATAATTACATATATACATAATTATTAAAATAATTTAATTTTCACAATTTTCTCAAATATACTCTTAAGACTTAAGACAAATAAAACTTCAAAAGCCTATTGTTGTATTGTCTAAGTATAATTACATGATATGTTATTTCTTTATGTTTTGTTTTGATAAAGAGAAAAATATGATAAAAAGTAGGAGAAAAAAAAAGAATGAGCAAAAAAAACGGATGGATTATTAGAATGTTTGAATCAAAAGTGGAAGAGAAGTAAAAAAGATAAAAATTAAATTCTCTCTATATTAATTTAGTTGGATAAAAAAATAGAGAGAAAAATAAATTATCTCATAAATATATTTGTACCCTTTTTATATACAATAAATCATGTGAAAAATAGATAAGAAATATCAAAGCTAAAATTGTAATTTTAAATGGTTATATTTAATTTCTCTTTTCTCTATTTCTTTTTCATTTAAGAGATTTTATTTTGAGATGAAACTCACTTTATTTTCTTCCTTCTCAGCCTCATCTAATTAAAATTATATAAGTCATCAATAGTAGAAAATGGAGATAAGATAAAAAGATTAACAATGATAAATGATGAAAGTCATTAGAATTTATTGGTAATTATAATTTTTTGTTTACATATATCATTTTGTTCAAAGTAATGAGTTTGTTATTTAGACTTTACAAATCTTATACAATTAGATCAGACTAACTAAGTCTCTTGACTCAAAGGTTGTAAGGTCAATCTTGGGATACAGAGGGTCGATATGATGCTCTCAAGTTCAATTTTCGTTGAACCACACTTTGTTAGCACAAATTAATCTTTGGATGTTAGTTTTGGAACACTATGTGGACCATGTTTCTGGACACAAAAAAAAGGACTTGGACTGGCTGCTCGAATTGGGAATGGATAGTGTAATTGATTTAAACTGATAATTAGATCGAACATGTTTTTGAACCAATGAGAATTGGATTGAACCAATTGATTTCCTAGTTATATCAATAAACAAGTAGTTTAATATAAAAAAAACTTTAATCACTCCCCCCTTTTGGTACTAGTAAAAGCTAATCCATTAAATTTGCATGCATTGGTTCCATTAAATTTGGAAATTATGGTACAAAATTGCTGCCAAATGGACTAGGCAAGTCCATGCTCTTGGCTTCAACGTCAACCTCATCAGCTTGAGAAGGACCTTCATATTGAGGCTCCCCCTCAAATGTAGCTTGGGTACCTCCTGAACTTGTGTTTGGGGCTCCTCCTAAGCCTAAGGAGTAACTTCTAATTGTTGGGCCTTAGAGCAGTCAAAGTAACATTTGTTAGGGCCTACTTCTTGGCTTTCTCAACACATTGAAGCTTTAGACGCTTCACAGCTTACTCCTCTTTCGAGTCATGTTGGGTAGTGGTAGGTATTGGGCCATGCACAAAGTGTCGCTTATGGATAGGTGGAGGTTGAAGAGTGATTTGTTGAGGTGGTTGAGGTTGAGGTTGAGGTTGAGATTGTGGTTGAGGTTTGGGTCTTGGTTGGGATGTTTAAGCAAATGAAGAGGTTGGTGGTTGTTTAAATGGTGGAGGAAGTTGGGAGATGATTTCTAGGCTAGAGGTGGAAGATTTGCAAGTAAGATAATGGATAAGTGGCTTATTATCTAAGTTAGATAAAGTTTCGGGGACATGGATCTTTAGGGTTTTGGAGATCGTGGCTTGGGTATGAGGTTTGGAGGGTGAGAAGGATTGTGTTTAGGTGAAACTACAAGTCTAGCAGGTACTTAGAGCAGTCTTCTTTGGAGGGATTTCTTCCTCCTCTGGTTTCGTCTTAGCGATCAGTGGGTGGCTCCTCACCTAGGGAAATAGATGGGCTATACCCATTTCCCTTAGTGTGGTCACTGACACCTCTCCACCTTTAGGACTGACAGTGAGAAACTTCATGTTGATCCTTACTATCTGGATGACCTTTGTAAAGAGCATCCCCATAGGAAATAAGGGCTTTTTTACTCCTCTCCTGTTTGTGCTACAAAAGGCATGTCTTCCAATGGTTGTAAACCAACTTCATAGGTTGATCTAACTCCCCAACATTGAGTAGTACAAGCAAAACCTATCTAAGTCAAAGACATGATCTCGCGATCTTGACCTTGGAAGAAAGGTGTTGACGAGTAGGTTATGAAACATTCTGCATAGTGGGGTGAGGTTGGCCCTCTGGATGAATTTCTTTAACTCATTCCTCTTTGATGGTCATAGGTCGTTTGAGTATATGAGTTCATCTATGATCTCTTCAGTGATGGTTGTCTCCCAATCACCCTTGTAGACCTCTCCCTCCTCCTTGAAACATAAGACTATTGCAATAATTAGCAGGTTCACTCGGATGATCGCCTGTTGCACACGTTCGATGATGGAGAGCAATTCCTAAATGGCAGACACCCAAAAGTAAGCATAAGGAGTATGGTTCCAGTCACACTTGAGTTTTGCGAACTTAGTCCATCCGATGTTGTCTAGATGAGACTTCATAGGGTAGCCCTCATCTTGAATTTTCTATACTATAATCGTCTTGATGGGTAGGAAGACAAACTTGGGGTATTCTTCCATCAGAACCTTCCTAGCAGATGGAGCAACTTTGGGGGCCATTTGGGTTTTTAGGGTTTGGTGTTTTGTAGAGAGATTTTTGGGTAGGAATATGAACAATTGGTTCGTAGAAATCTTTCTAAGAAAGTGCAAGAGTGAAGGAAAATAATTGAGTTTTGTTGAGTAGTGGATGCTAAGTTTGAGTGTCGTGATTGGTAAACTAAGGGGATGGGGGGTAGGTGCTGACATGATGCGCCTCTATCTTTCTCACTTCTCCACACATTACCTATCTCGAAAACTAATGCATCCAATGATGTTTAGCATTTATGAGCTTTAAATGCACTTGATACATTTTCAAAAATACATATGATATGTTAGTGCAAATATCATGTCAAATTAATGA